ACAAAAAAATTGCAACAACAAAGTATAGTTTATCGGACATTACACACCAAACTAACTCACCGAAGTATAGGTTTCATGCCAAAAAGCTGCATGGCGTCCCAGCTCCCGCCAAATTGAAGCGATCACCAAATACACAGAACATTGTAAGGATAGCGAGGTGCGCGATCGATATACTCGTTCACTACACAGCTCTGCGGACGCTGCACGCATAACGCCGTTTAACCATCGGCTCTACCGCACATATTACTCTCAAGTTATTATTTTACAAACACGTCCACTCATGAGAAAAGCAACCTGAGACGACCGCAACGTTCGAAACCTTAATACTTCCCTTCGCTGCAAATATTAGGTGACAGAACCGAGGAATCCGTTCGAATAACTTGGCACAATTTTCGCACAGCAAATTCGTTAACCGGAACCGATTTCTATTTTCTAATCGAAATTTACTTTTATACAGGCTGGAAATTTATGCGAGTCAAAAGAATCTTTCAAAATACTAAGAAGTAAAACTTAGCAACGCGTCAAGCGAGTCCCAATATAAAAATAATATGAACAATGTGGGGACAGAAACAGGAGTCGCGTAATAATAAGAGAACTCGCGTAGGGATGGTAGGGACTACGGAGGGTGCATTGTGCACCGGCGAAATTCGGAAGGGCCCGCTGCGAAAACCCCTGTTTGGCCCCCTACACTTGCGCAAGATGCGAACCCGTTTTGATTTTTGTGAACATAACTGGGGATTTAACCGTTCACCGGCACCTATTCATTTAGCTGGGCCGTTAGTCTGGTTATTTATCAATATAATACAAAAGCGGATAACGATAATAATAATAAAAATTAAAGAACTATAGGCATGTCGCGCTTAATGTGTACCTAAATATTTAATATTGTTAGTAATGTAACATAAAAATTATTGCATTTTATTAAATCTATACATTCAATAAATTTTAATAAAACTTTTGAATATCATTTCCAAGTAAAATCATTCTTCAAAAATTCATCTAGGTGAATACCGCATATTGCAATGTATATATAGAACGTAAAGGAAGGTAGAGTACGAGTAGCCGAAATGATCTACAATATTTTTAAGAAAAAATGTATAATAGTTTCTTTAATATTATTCTTTTATTATTATGTACTTTAATACATAATTTACACGTTTTAATAATCTACTATGACATAAACTATAGGCGAATTAGTACCTAGGTACTAAGTTTAATATACATATATTATATGTATATGTATACAATGTAATAAAGCTAAGTGTTAATTGACAAGTAGGTTTTATATGAATTGGGCAACCGTTATTGTGATAATTTTAACATCAAACTGACTATAAAAGAATTTAAAATATTTTATATTTATTGGTTTTTATTGTATATAAGGACGAACCCAAGCGAAGCGAGGGTGAGTCGCTAGTGTGAAGTATACAGAAAGCGGTATTTAGCTTTAAGATAAAAAATAAGACATACATTTATTTGATTTTTTTACGATATTCATCCTTTACAAGGGCAAAAGGGGGGTCGTGCTGTTTATATAGGGAAAAAATTGTTTATGATCAGAATTGCTCGAAAGTTAGTATTAATGCTCTTCAATACAATTAAATAAACATGTATTTTGGAATTTATCAAAATTCAGTGCTTGTGGCGGTAAAACTGGGTGGTGAAGTTGGAATTATTTGAATTTAAATAGAGCAATATGGCTCAAGTTCTCCGTAAGTGCACATTTAGTGTGTGAGATATAAAGTAAAGAACGGGAATTATACCGAATCCAAACGAAAATTATGTATAACTTCTAAGCTGACCACAGCAGTGACAACTTTAACAGACCTAGAGCGAGAGAGAGAGAGAGATAGGGAGAACCTAGCTACAGATTATCCTTATAATCTGATTACATAAATGAACATAGAATATTAAAAATTCGAAACTGACAACACATATAAATTCAATTAAAATTAAAACTGAGCAAATTTTTTTTGTCCACGCGAGCGTAGCTGCGGGCAATAAGCTATAGCAAAATAAGAATGGTATTTTATAAAGAAAGTAAGAAAGAGAATGTGGGAGACTGTGAGCTTCGGGTGTACATAGTATTGGATCTTTAAAAATAACGTAGATGTTAGCCTGTTAGTATGTTAGTTAAAAATCCCATATTAGCCGAGTTATATGATTCTAATACGAGTTGTATCATTGTACTATCTTACTTTAAGTTAGGAAAGATGGTGTAGAAAAATGTGCAAAAGATAGAGGCATTGGAGCTTGCTAAATAAACACCTAAAATGACGTTTAACATCTCTTAGAATGAAATACAATCGCTAAAATTAAATTTATTTTCCATATAGGTATCTTTAAGAAATAATATGAAACACGGACTTATTTTTGCAAATAATAAAGTAGGTACTTTTGTATTGCAAAAAAAGTGTTATTTTCATAGATTGATCGCGGGCGAAACCGCGGGTTCTACTAGTCTTTATATAAAAGTATACCTTTCTTCTAAATATTGGACTAAGTAGGTATAATTAATATTACACCTTTTACTATCATCTGATCGTCTTAAAAATTAATAGGCTTATAATACTTAGGCTTAAAAGACTTCACTACATATTAAAAAATAAAGTCACCCCGCTGCGCCAGTCTCTCTGTCTGAACGCGATAAACTCAAAAACTATCAAATGGATTTTGATAAGGTTTCACTAATAGACGGAGGATTCATGAGGAAGGTTAAGATTTATAATTCATTATGGTTTTGTGTAAATTGGCTGAAATATGACAATACGACAAAAATCATACCGACTTATATGAAAACAATGTATTACGGAATGATTTCTCTTAAAAAGGTCTATTAAAATTGTAGCAACACTATATGTACGTACAATCGTACTTAGGGACGCGCCCGAGCGAAGAGAGAGTAAGTCACTAGTTTTAAATATTCATAGGACATGTCGCAATATGCAACAATAATAACCTTTATCTGAACTGATATTGACCATGACGATTATGTTAAACTTTAAATTATTTTCATTAGTGAGCTATGAGAATGGGTATACTCGCAAGTTGTTCATTCATTTTTAGCTTTCTACCTTAACGAGACAATACGCAACATAACTAGACCGGGGCAATCCTGTACGTTCAATATTTATTCGTTGGAGGAATCGAACACGTGACCTGTAGCGTAAGTAGTAGTGGCAGTAAAATGTGCCACTGTGCGTCTCAATTCTGTGCGTTAGTATAATTAATTAAAAAATCACTGTACCTAAATGAAGGTATTTATAATTATTCAATCAGAGAAATATCCATAAAATAAGTATAGAAAATACATTAAAATTTTAATTAAAGATTTGAATTGTTTCTAAAGAAACAAGCGTAGATATATAACTGGTCATTTTTTAAATAAAAATAGAAAATAATGAAACTTAAATTTTTCATGTATCAGTTTTCTATGAAACGAATAAGTAAATATCTAGAATAAATAACATCGGATTACGTTCCTTATTTCTATGTTCGGTACAAGTATTTCATTATACACCTAGAGATGGCGCTGATGTATAATAATATTCTCTTTGGTTTAGCGCTGCGCTAGTTTATCGATTTTATGTTTACTGGTCAGTGTTTGCACTAGTAAAAATGTCAAATATTAAATCGTAAAAATGAAGTTATATATTAGATTTGGGCCAATTATCTCTTTATTTTTAGATTGCCTTTGTAATCTTTAATAGAATAATACCAAAAGAGTACTAAAATATCCTTTAGACATTTTTTTGTGAAATATATTTTTGGAATGATAACATTGTAGCAACACACAAATGTCTATGAGTTTGACCCCGAAGCTCGTGTCCCGAGCAGAAGGAGAGTGTGGTGAAGGGCCAGGCCCTTAGTTTTCGGTCTTCATCCCGGTTAAATTGTGTAAAATGGGCACATAATAGGTAAATAAGTTTTTAAATTTCGAAACATATTCTGTACAATTATTACAATCAGTTTATTTAACATAATTTCTATCATTAAAAATATATCACGAGCAGTCCGTACGAGTTACAATTGCTAAGAATATCGTCGAAAGTTGCGCACTGATCATCTTGTTACAATATAATTTGAAAATCGCGTTTTTATATGAAGAGTAGCTTGAAATACTTAATTAAGTGGGGATTTCAACGATTTATCGATCTTAAAGTTTAAAAATTAATTTGAGGTCCTCGAGATTTAAGTGAGTGTATTGAGACAATGGTGTATCGATTATTTTGCGCTAACGAAATGTCATCCCGGTACCGTAGTGTTAATATTAGAAGTCTATGTTTGTGATCATGATAACTTTTGTCTAGGCATCTACGTGTTTTATATTCAGCTTACAGAATTGATATTAGCTTCGGTGACTAAAATTGTGTTTTAAATTTATGTAAAAAATTATAGTGGTAATAATTATTTAAATATTATCATTCTTTGGTTTTATATACTATTTATCCTTAAACATTTTGTACCATTTAAATATATTATTCTGTTCTATGTTTGTCTGTATATCGAAACCTACAGACCTACTGTAAAAACTATTGAAAAATAATTATTACCTATTATATTTTAAGGAAGTCTGTCTTCGGTTGCTTATTAAAGATAAAAATTACTATAAAAACCGATATTGCCAAGGTCTACAACTTGGTGTGAAATAGTATTTAAGATAACGATGAGAAGTACGTAACAATATCGAAAGTTAAATAGGTAGTTTATCGGATACCTCGAATTTTTTCTGCCATTTTATTTATAATAGTACAGCTAATAATAATTTTGAATTAAAATGTTAAACTAATAATGTAATAAAAATAATATGCCTTAATTTAGAATAATATGAATTTGATGTTAATACATCAAAAATGATTCGTTTGTTAAATGTATCCAATAAATCATGTTAAATTTGTTTCAGTTTGTGAACATTACTGAAGATTTTCGCGCTCAAACTTGAACAGTAAGTTGAACTTTTAAGTCAGGTACGGTTAGATTTTATCCAATACGGATTAAAAATGGCGAATCCAGGTCGAGAAAGTGTTAGTACTCGTTTTTCGGATAACTATGACCTCAAAGAAGAACTTGGAAAGGGAGCATTCTCAATAGTAAGGCGAGCAGTTCAAAAATCAACTGGATATGAATTTGCGGCGAAAATAATAAATACCAAGAAACTCTCAGCTAGAGACTTTCAGAAATTAGAGAGAGAAGCTCGAATTTGCCGAAAACTACAACATCCTAACATTGTAAGACTGCACGATTCTATTCAGGAGGAACATTTTCACTATCTCGTTTTTGATTTAGTAACAGGTGGAGAATTGTTTGAAGATATAGTGGCACGAGAATTTTATTCTGAAGCCGACGCATCTCATTGTATTCAACAAATCTTGGAATCTGTACACCATTGCCACCATAATGGCGTTGTTCACAGAGATCTAAAGCCTGAAAACTTGTTACTCGCTAGCAAAGCTAAAGGTGCCGCTGTAAAATTAGCTGACTTTGGCTTAGCTATTGAAGTCCAAGGCGATCAGCAAGCATGGTTCGGATTTGCTGGGACTCCTGGCTATCTTTCACCTGAAGTACTTAAAAAAGAACCTTACGGGAAACCAGTAGATATTTGGGCCTGCGGTGTTATATTATACATTTTACTTGTGGGTTACCCGCCATTTTGGGATGAAGATCAACACCGATTATATGGACAAATTAAAGCTGGTGCTTACGACTATCCATCACCTGAGTGGGACACTGTAACACCAGAAGCCAAAAGTCTGATTAATCAAATGTTAACAGTAAATCCTAGCAAGAGAATAACCGCTTCTGAGGCCTTGAAGCACCCATGGATTTGCCATCGCGAACGTGTTGCATCTGTTATGCATCGGCAGGAGACCGTAGACTGCTTGAAGAAATTCAACGCCCGTCGCAAATTGAAAGGTGCCATTTTAACTACCATGCTTGCTACTCGCAATTTCTCAGGTAAATCTATGGTTAATAAGAAAGGCGATGGTTCACAAGTTAAAGAATCTACTGATAGTAGTACCACGCTAGAAGATGATGATTTGGATAAAGACAAAAAAGGTGTCGACAGAGCGTGTACAGTTATTTCAAAAGAACACGATGAAGAAGCCCTTACTAAAGCCGATTCCTTCGGAAAAGCTCGAGGTGATAGCAATGCATCTCTGCGTCGCGCTGAAGTTATTAAAGTTACAGAAGTATTGATAGACGCCATTAATAATGGTGACTACGATACATATTCTAAATTATGTGACCCAAATGTGACTGCTTTCGATCCTGATGCTTTAGGTAATCTGGTGGAAGGAGTAGAATTTAGCAAGTTCTTTATTGACAACACTCCAACACACGTTAAAACAAACACTACTATTTTAAATCCTAGAGTACATTTACTTGGAGAAGATGTTGCTGTAATTGCATATGTGTGCGTTACTCAGAGTGTAGATGCTGAGGGCCGACGATCTACAAACCAGACCCAAGAAACTCGTATCTGGCACAAACGCTTTAACAAGTGGACTGCAGTTCATTTCCATCGCTCCTAACTAGTCCCTTACCTTAAAGGCTCCACAATGCCAGTGGAATTTGGTCTCAAAAAACAAGATTTATGTAATGGTGATGTCATTAAAACTATTATTACATTTCATGAATAGACAGAGACCACTAAATATGAAATTCCTTGGCTAAAATATATTAATGTCTAATTCTGCTAAAAATTACACGAATTTTACTAGTAATTCTTTGTAATCTCAAGGAATTAAGTTATTTAAAATAGGTATTCAATCAATATAAGCAATTTAAATGCTACTTCATTATCCATAATAATCAGAGTCCCTGAATAAATCCAATGTTTTGTGGCTAAATGTGATACTGATATCCCATGCTTATTGCTAGTTAGTAGGTATACAATGATCTCGGCCACAATCGAATATTGTCAACGAAAATTGTCGTATTAAATACAATCGTTGGTAATCAATGAGTCAAAAATCTCAGAACTAAGATCTGACACTAATGAATCTACTTCATTACTAAGTACCTAATATAAAAACTGCAGAAATTTTCAAGATTTAGAATTATTAGCACATTTCTCAATAAGTCTCTACATTTTTAACTATGAATGTTTTGTCGTGCTTAAAAATGGTGTTCTATTTGTTATCGAATACCTAGCTCGTAAGATTAAGTAAATATTAATGCAGTTATTGGCACTACACTTGCAAATTGCAACATTTAAATAATAGCTACCTATAACTACATTTGTTGTTCTCAGATACTTTGTCTAAAGTATACATTTATAACTTCATTTCAAATATTAGTCTAGAATTTATTTATTAAATAATGTTTTAAGTAAATTATATCAATTTTGTCAATTTTAGATTTAAATGGTGAAAATTACTGTGCTTTGCTTCAAATAATCAGTTACATATTATATGTTAGTTGTTATTGAAACATTATATTATATGTTTAAAAATCATTTGAATTTGTTATTATGTGTCATATCATTTTAAATTCAATGAAATCTTTATAGTATTACAATTCTCCAGTGACAACTGTGCAAAATGTGGAGTGTATTTCAGCTGTTTGAGAAAAGAGCTTTGTTGAGTGATATTACATGTGTAAAGGTGCTGCACAGTTTCACTTAAGAAATGTGCTAATGTAAGTCTGGGGGAATTCAGCAAGCATTTTCTAGAAATATAATTAGATATAAATGACATTTACCAATTTTTTTACAATTTTGTAAATCGTAGCATAGTTAGCAAAACCTAATTTATAAATATATACTTCAAATTGGAATTGTAATTATAATATATTGCATCATAGGTAACTTATTTGTGAATTGTGATTATGATATTATATCCACTGTATGAATATATAATTGTGCCATTACCATTGAATTTAGTGCCAATAACTGTAAAAAATTAAAAAAATGTATTCTAGTCTTTATTGTTACGCATACTTAGTGTTTAATCAATGTTTTAATTAATTTGGAAAATTATACATACCTGATAAATGTACATGTACATACATATAGATATGATTTGCACACTGCATGTTTTGCAATCATTTAAAAATATTTTCTAACATTTTTATAGTTTTTTTTTCTGATATAATCGTTATACTTTTTATTTGTTGTTATAGATTCAAATTAATATATTTACTATATTTATTATTTAATTTTGTAGCACTGAGGCAACAGTAAATGTAATGAAAGCGAAAGCCAGCTTTTATCCAAAGTTTTAGATCTTTAGATGTGCCCTGATTCGTCTAAAATCTAAATGGTCACCTTTCGCGATTCGTTTATTTATGCGTTACCATGGTAACACATGGCATTTGTATGCCAAATATAGTAAGTGTTGCTTAATCAGAAAATTGTTCACTATCTCTATTAAACGAAAATCACATTATTTGGTATAAAAATTCGAAAATCCGTAGGTACTTTAATAGATCACTTTTTTATGATATTAATACTATAAATGTGAAAGTGTGTTTGTTTGTCCTCCTTTCATGTTGAAACAGTGACGGATTGGCGTGATTTTGTATGGAGGGCGGGAGAGTGACTTAAGCTACTTTTTACTGCAGGAGATTATCTCATTCCCATGGGGAAAAAGGTAATAATATACTTAACCCACACCAACTCCATCATGCCTATGTATATACATAACTTATAGTCATTATATAGCCGTTAGACCCGAGCGAAGTGAGGGTGAGCCGCTAATATATGTATAAATAAAAGACCCGTAAAATATTACACCTTTCGTGCTCTATTAGAATTCCTTGAATAACTTAAGCATTTTCTTAATCTACAAAGACGGCTCTCGATTTTTATTTTACCTCTTCTTTGAGAACACTGACGACTACCTGCCTCAGAACACTGACGAAGGATGAATGAGCATTAAGTTCACTTATCCCAGTATGAATACTTACAAGTGGTCAAGTGTAGGTCAGGGCTAATCTATGGATTTAAATCTTTTCTTTTATCTACAAGTGCCGATCTTTTTTTTATATCTCTAAAAATAGAATGACTTTAAGGCAAAAATATTCTCTAAGCTTGTCCAGATAAATTTAATGTTGTTATAGCAAGTGTCGATTTTACTAACTGAATGGTTGAATTTAATTATATTGCTTTCATTAACTACAATTAACTATATTAGTAAAATATTTTCAGAATGTAAGCTTTAATGTTAAGTTTTGTTTGTTATTACCTACCAAATAAAAATATTACATGTGAAATATACTTAAATACATTATTTATTAAAATGTATTCTGTTGACATTAGAATTACTACAAAAATAGATTTTATTTATAAATAACAACAAAATTAATCAGTTGATGAATTAATTACTGTGATTGCACAAATGTGAAAATCATATTAACCTGACTTTATAAATAACATATTAGTGTTGTCTTCCTTCAACAGTGTTCCAAACTATAACTTTGAAATAAATAATAATTATGACTTTCAGAAAATTAAAATGTAACTTAACTCTTTATAAAAATTTAAAAGACAGCTCTCTGTTCATTGTTAAAGCACTTTTCCTGATTGCATGCACTAACCTACTGGCTTTAATATATTTAGGGGAGCTTTTTAAATAATAAATTAATGGAATGTTTATCTATTGGCATAATTTTTCATAATATTTACTAGAAAATTAGTTTGAGAAATATTTGCTTACCAATCAACTTAGTTACCCTATTGATGCACATGTAATTATATTTTGTAAACCCACATATTTAACATGCAGCAATTTGTTTTATTTGTTGGGTAATTTAAATTTAATATAAAGAATATTGCACTCATTCTGTATGCTTGTTTCTTTTTTATAGTATGGGTGTAGTGCAATATAATTATTACTATAAACAAAACCAGCATAAATTTTGTTGAAATTGTAAATTTACCTCCATTAGCCCTATATTTATTATGAAATACTTAAAAATGTTGACCTGTCAGCTAGAATTTATATTGTGTGCATAACAGTGGAGCATTCTATGTTAGAATATGGTTTGTTAAGCCTTAATATTGAAACTATCTAGGGTGTACTTAAATTGAGTGAATAGTATTATTTAGTTTAACTTAATATAAATATTGCACCCCTGCCTAGTTATATCAAGATTGTTTTGTGTCATAGCTAGGATTTAACCAAAGTATATAATACTTTAATGCACCACTAAACTCATTTGAAATTTGACTTTATTATGAAGATGGTGAAGTTTGTTGTAGCATAATTTAAAATGTGGAAGTGTAGCTGTATTAAACATTTGTCAGTATATTTCTATTTGACATAATTTCTTAAACCTCTGCATTGCCGATTATCATGTAACATTCTCTAAAATAAAGTTTTTTTGATCTATATTACAAATATTTCAATGCCACCATTTACTTTACAATTAAGGTCATATAGTTTTATTTCCTCATACACTTTTTGGAAAACTTTTCTGATACTAAAAGCCTATAAATATTTATTTTTGAAATAATGTAGGTTCATTTTTATATAAGTATTAGAAACCACAATTATTCTATGAATGCAAAAATTTAAGTATTTATAATTGTTTTATTTCAATAATATAGTAAAAAATATAAAAACAAATATACTTATGATTATTATTTATTACAAAACTAATATCTATCACTCAGTAAAGGAACAAGCATCATTTGAAATAACAAAATTCATATAAATTACATACCTACCTTATAATTAAATAACATTTAAATATTTCATCTTTTGATATACACCTTTACAGCCATCAAGACCTACATTGAAATTTTTCACAATTTTAAAAATGTCAGTTTCACTTAGCTTTCTGTTTGAAAGTTCATTTGCAATGCATAATCTTAAATGTTCTTCTGACAATGATTCAAATTTAATAAAATACTTAATAATTCCCACATTTCCTAAAGTTTGATTTAACCTTTGAACAAAATCATGATCACATTTTTTAAAATAATGTTCATCCATAGTATCACAGTTGTACAATAACAGAATTGTTATCTTCTTTGAAAGTTCTTCACTTTTCTTTACTAAGGTAATTATATGATTTTCAATATTCAGTATATCTTGTCTGTTAAGATCATCTACAACCACAAGAGAAGATTCACAGAATGAAAGACCAAACATAAAATCAAATGAAGTTTGTAAAAAACTAGGCATTGTATAGTGATAAACATTACTATACTCTAATAAATTTTCTAGTATCAATGATGCAGTATATGTTTTACCCACTCCTGTACCACCATACAATATTATAAGTTTGCCAGTAACTTCAGCTTCCAATGCCTTAATTAAAGAATCAACTGCAGCAGTTTGCCCATATAATTTAGATTGTAAGGTATCTTTTATTAGGTTAAAATTTAAATTTTCGTTACATTTAAATTGTGTAAACTGATGAAATATAACTGATAAATATAATACAATAACACATGTTAACAGTTTACATATCCATCTTTTTGAGTTATTAGTATGTTGTTTCTGCTCTTCAATTAATTTATTAATAGATAAACGTTTTATATTTAAATAGCTGTCCTTAACATTACAATCATCTACAGTATTTTCTTTTTTAATAGTAACTGGTGAAATGTCAAAACTACGATCCACATTTGATATATCCATAGCACTAACTGAATGTGAACTCAAATCTATATCCATAGGTTCACAACTAGTTTCACTTTTGATATCCATATTTAAACAAAATCTTGAAAATTCTTATAAATTTGGAAGTCTTGGTGATATCTAATTTAATAATAATATGTAGTTATCAATATAGAAGTTCGGTGGTAATTTATAGAATCACAATAAAATTTTCAAGAAAATTATACATGTAGAAAAGTTAGATATAACTTTTAAGTATTATGATTATTGATTTGTGAATGTGATCATATTTTTTGTATAGAAACGTACCTTAACGTCAAATGTCATGTCATAATCAGTGTTGTCATCGACTTTAAAATTATGTTCTGGAGAAAATTTCTCGAAAGGAAAGCGCCACACGTATGGCCTATTTACATTCTATTCATATCTCTTTTATACCAGGTTTTTGAAGCGAAACTTTTTCAGAATTGTTGTGATTTGAAACTCGATAAAACGAATATGCGACACTAAAAAACGAAACACATAAATATATAGGATTAAGCCGGCGAGAGATTGAAATAGAATATATTATTTCCATGTTTCTCTAGTAACCGTATGTATTACTATTTATAACTAGCATTGCCCGCAGCTTCACCCGCGTTCAGATGACCAAAAACCAAATTCTTATGTTTTACATATTAGTATACTCTTACATTGCAGTTTTTGTATTTTTTCTCAGAAATGAGACATTTTCCCGCGGTAAAAAGTATCCTATGTGTTGACCCGGATAACTAGCTATCACCATACCAAATTTCATCAAAATCCCTCCAGTGGTTTTTCTGTGATGCGGTAACAGACAGACAGACAGACAAAAACTCTAAAAACTATATATTCGGCCTCTGTATCGATAATAATGTTTATTTCAATAAGATTTTCAAAAAAATAAATTAATGTACAAATTTGGATTATTTACAATTTTATTATATGTATAGACTAGCGACTCACCCTCTCTTCTCTCGGGTTCATCCCTAGCTTGCTTCCCCATACAAACTTACCTCCTTAAGAAATGATTTCCGAGATAAAAACTACTTCACTCACTCACTTCTCGTATCATTTAAAAAAAATCTTATTTTAGTAACAAAAATAAAAAATAACTTTAATTTTCTTCTTTACAAAACTTGTCCAGACAATAACAATCACAAAAAAAAAGAATTATCTAATTTGGTACAGTATATCGTAAGTTATTCGTGTATATAATACATTTCGGTGATTCATATTTTTTTATTTAGATATGTATGTATTTAAAGTTTTTATATGGTGTAGTGTATCAACCATCTTGTATCCATAACACAAGCCTTGTAGCTCACCATGGAACTAGATGGTGCTGTGTGTTAATGTCCCAACATGTTATTATTAAAAAATATATAATACCTATTATATTCCTTCCTTATATGATAATCTATAAATATACGATTGTAATACGCCTATTATGCCGTATTTAATTATTGATTTATATTTGTTTTAATTTAAGTGCAATATTTGCCAAAGAAGTTTTACTTCAAACGCGCGTAAATTTTAGACGCACCTATTTTTGTTATTTCTATTGTGTTCGCATCTTACCTTTGCAATTTATTGTACCTGGAAGTTAGACCGAAGAAGGAAGAATTGAGAAGGAGAGGTGCATCCTGCGCTGGTCCTGACTGACTGGTGAATCAGCGCACATCCTAAGCCGCTGGTCGTAGAAACGTGAAATGGAGGACGTATTCCTTACATGAAGAAGGAATCGAACAAGAAAGGATTTTTCGAAATCCCTTAAGTGGGTAAAGTAGGGATTAAAGATTGTATCAAAATCAGTCATTTTTAATTTGAAATACATAGAAAGTGGTATTTAACTTTAAGATAAAAAATAAGAAGTATATTTATTAGATTTTTTTCGAAATTCATCCCTTAAATGGGTAAAAGGGGGTAATATAGTTTATATGGGCAAAGAATTATCTATGATCAGAATTATTTGAAACTTGGCATTAATATTCTTCAATACAATTAAATAAATACGTGTTTTAGCATTTTTTTAAATTCTAAAAAAAAATGGCGATGACATTTTGTATGAAACTTTGTAATTAATATGTAAAAACGTACAAACAATGAAAAAAAAATTAACCTGTAGACCATTTAAGATTTTCATTTTCTTTAAAATGATGTCCACATAGCCTTAAACATAAAGATTGTGATTTTGCCAATTGTGGTAGTCTTATTGCTTTAGCTCACAATATCTTCAGTTTTTGTCTTTTGGAAACAAATGATTGCATTCTGGCAATGCACAATTTGTCATTTGAATTAAATTTTAAATAAAATGGAAAAGTCCATCCATGCTATAGAGGTTTACAATATACTGAGGGCTATAACGATTGCGACATCTAGTGGGAAAAAATGGAAATTTTTTTTCCCATTTCAGTCACCCAACAACGGAGAAAATAAATTGTCTCTACTGGCGTCTGGCAGCCCTGTTTTAATCTGTTACAAAAATATTGTGTATTCTGTGATGTGTCAAGTGTTCAATATTGTTGTGGTGTAGGTAATGGAAAAATTTACGTTATTTTTGAAATGAATTATACAAATGATAATGTTGATAGTCCAATTTATAATAAAAAATCGACGCCTCCTACTCAAGGAAAAGTCCGAAATCCATTTGATAAAGTATTAATTGAAAAATTACACACACCAATATGCAGGTATGTTGCCGCGATAAATATGTGATCAGTGATGATATTTTTTATTTTAATATTGAATAACTCGCTTCTCCAGCCCCGGGATGTGCAAAATCTATAAAAAGAAACACAATGGTTCGTTTAGATGGGATATAGATCAAGCATGTACTTTAGTACCTGCCGATATTGTAGCATGCAACAGTCAGTTTGAACCATCACCAGATCCTGCATTGGAGAAAATCGCGGAAGAAGCGAATGAGAAGTATATATGTATTTTTTTTCATGCGTATATAAGCTGTATTTATAATTTGTCCCCATACTACATATATATAATACCATGAACCATCTATAACGAATCTAATAGTTTGCTAATCTCACATACTCTTGCTGCTGCTTGACCAAAAATAGCAAAAATACTAAAATTATGAATGAATTTTTTTTTTACAGATTTTTCTCACAAGAAATGGTCATACCTAGTCCATTAGAAATTTCTAAAAAAGTGAAACCACTTTTGCAACCTACTGATACTAGTAATATTGCTATTAACAGTTTTATCTGTGAAAAAACTACCACTTTTAGAGAAGGTAATTATTAAACTTTTCTTAATATAAACTACGATAAATATTAGATATATCTTCATGTTTCAGTAACAGATGAGATCACAACAGTATGAGAAAAATTTTCTAATAGATATTATATGAAAGTTTGTAATATTATCTTTTAAGGCAATCCAATGTTTCCTACACTTTTCAATCATTGGACACTGATAAAATAAAATTTGTTCTATATGTTAGTTTGTGTACATATAAATTATGACTGTAATTAAAAACTACATAGTAACCTTCACTTGCATAATTAATGTAAAAATACAAATATGTCATATTGTAATCAATAATCTGTGATCAACATGCTTAAAAGCTATTATGACAAGGAATAAATTAAATAGAAGTAAATAAGATAAGAGATTGTAAATATAAAAGTGTAGATATATAATATTTCTAAAATATAAATTGTATATTTTATTTTATTTCACCTACATTATGTATTTTAATAAGTTTATTATTTAGTTTCAGCCCAAACTGTGCTTACATTGCCACCAAAACTACCTCCTGAAATTGAAAACATCTTACAACAATTCTGCACTTATACACAGGTAATAATGTTTTTATTAACTTCACATGTAAATAAATCAAATTTTGGAAGTCAATTTTAACCTGCTGAGTTTCAGTCCTGATGACAAAATATTTTTTTATGATCAAGCTGATCTGAATGTGAAAGTCTTCAATGGATAATTTAAGAGGGCACCAAGCTTTTTATTTTAGTAGGACGACAGCAGGCAGGGGGAGGGGCGTGGCTAAGATAGACAGAACACATGCGAATTTAGGTATTTTCTTCGAATTATTAAAACAAATACACATTTTGAAAATGTTAAGTGTATATGTTCTTCTTCTTCTTCTGGCACTGGTTTTTCCGCACTTAGGCATCTTTGCCCATTGTACGTGAGCTTGTGCTGCTGTGTGTGTTATTCTTTCCACCTCAGAGCGTCCCAGTAGTCTAGCAGGCTGCCGATATCCTGGAAGATTTCTGTGATCGATCTTTTGGGGCCGAGTTTTTCTTTACGTAATTGTTCCAATGCACTGCATTCTATCAGAATGTGAGCTGGTGTTTCATCTTCTTGGAGACACGTTCTGCAGAGGGCGCTGTCCGTGTGACCTATGTTAAAAAGATGTTTGTTGAGATGGCAGTGTCATGTTATAAGTTCCACCACCGTTTTTAGTTTGGGTCTATCTAGGCGTGTTAGTTTCGTTGTTAGTTGTTTATTTAGTTTGGGGAAGGCTTCTTTCGATTATAGCAGAGTGGACCTTGGAGCAACCCCATGGTTGTGGTGGTCTGCATCGGCAGATCTGCCGTCCGAGCGTCATAGTTGAATGCTTAAGCGATCCTGCGACGCCCCATTAAGACGGGGGAAGATTTTGTTGGGTTTTAGTGGGTAGTACTGGCTTTATTACGCCGGTGAGTCCCACACCATGTGCGTAAATGCATTTCCCAACGTTAAAAAAAAAGGCTTTTTTCGATTGGCGGCAATCTGTATTAGCCTTCCATAATTTATATGTCAACTGTTTTGTCAGTGAAGTCATGTAACCATGATTTTTATTTGCAGTGTGGGATTGGGGTTAGAGGTGTAGGCCCTTGAACTTTTAGTCTTGAGGCCTGTTTGGCTAGGTTGTGGGCAGTGGAATTGCCTTTGTTATTAGTGTGACCTTTTACCCAAGAAAGTTTTACTGTGTTAGTTTGGGAAAGGTGTTCTAACGTTTTGTAATATTCTGATATGTATTTTGATTTTGTTGTGTTTTTTGTTAGTGCTTGTAGTAACGTTTTACTGTCGGTTTTTATGTTCTCCAATTGTAATGCCGACGTATTCTGCTTGTAGCACTGTGTTGTACATACCCAAATGATGGTTGGTTTTAATATTGGGAGTGGGGCAGAATACACCTGCACCTGCTCCTTCCTTGGATTTGGATCCATCTGTGTAGACGGTGTGGGTTTTACTTGTTCCGTCATTTGGCCATTTAAACTGTGAAAATTCCGCCTCATAGATGTCGAGGACCTTGGTGTGTTTACCCAAATTGTGTTTCCATAAGTTAAATGATTGTAGTCTTAGAGCTGACAAGGCAGCTTCCTGTTTTATGAAGACGTGTAGAGGGGGTATGCCCTGGTGTATACGTTTAAGAGAACATATAGTTTTGTCATTATTAAAAAACTCATAAACTTCCTTGAATTATTTACGCCGCACTAAGGGTTTATTTTTTAGAGATCCTTTTGGATTTTTTTTCTGTCGTGGAAACTACACCTAATCGTGTTTCTAAAGTGTATGATTTATAGAATAAATCCTTAAATATCCTACATATTAATTGCATAATTAAATTTTTAGTAATAACAATACAGCAAGGGATCAAACGAACGCAAGTATTTCATAATTGCCTCGGTGCCCCCTTAATAAAATCTTAAATATGGTAAAGGTCTATCGTTAGTTTAGGGTGCCTTAAATATGGTAAAGGTCTATCGTTAGTATAGCCTAAATAAATAAAATTTTGATGAGTACCAGTTTAAAAGTAGACTATCTACGTTTTCAAAATTAAATTTATTATATGTACCTACTTATAAATTAGTTCTCTAATGAGAAAAGTATTTGTGATACAATGGTTATCAAAAGAATATATTTTAAACTAGCGACTTATGACTCATCCTCGCTTCACTCGGGTGCGTCCCTAGTATGACGTACGTTCTAATGTTTTGAATAGGGTCTAAAATAAAAATAGCCTACGTTACTCCTTATAACATCAGCTAACAGCCAGTGAAAGTCGTCAAAATCAGTCCAGCCGTTTCGAAGATTAGGGGAAACAAACAGACAAACAAAAATATTAATTATTGTGTTTTTCTTATAAATACAGTATATAATTTCGATATGCATTTAGTAAAAACCTGTTATTTTAACATTATAAATAGACATTACAATTTTATTTATCTGTATAGATGTTTTTCTTCAACCTGATGTGAACATGATATAAAGACTTTCATTTTTATTTATAAACAAAACAGGATCAAAATATATATGGTGAATATGAAGTTACAGCAAATGGTTCTTTAAGAAGGAAATTGTTCTTTGAGGAGCACAGTGATATAGATCACTATGATTCTGAACAAACAGATGATGAAGTTCATATAGAATCTCAACTTCAAGAAAGACCACCATCAAGCTATGAAGCACATACACCTGTATTGTTTAGTCCAGACTTGGTAAGTTTTCTCTTAAATTACGACATTTGAAATGTTTTAGAATTAGTAATTTTGCGTTTATTAACATATTTGATATATAATTTTTTCATTTGGGCTAGTAGTTTCTAAAATTATCATGTTCGAACAAAACTCTTCTCTTCAGAAGCTTACCTATATCAAATGAATTCCATACACTAATCTATCTATACAAAAATCCATCAAAATCAGTTCAGTGGCTTTGGCTTTAAAAACTTAACAAACAAATATATAAAAATACAGATAATTTGGATATAAAGTATTCAAATCAGACTGATAGTTATTTACGTTTCGGATTAGTGTTATCAATCATTATATACACTAGCTTTATAAATTGTGTACATCAAAATAAAAAATATATTTACCTGTGCAAACCGGTTGCAGTATGCAATCGGACTAAAATTTAAATGAAAAATATTAAAGAAAATATTAAATATTACAGAGTCGTGATCTGGTAGCCAAAGGTATGAAGCGAACGTTTGGAACGCCAGTACAGAAAGGACAGGCAAGTAAGCCGTGCTATCGCAACAAGATCCTCGATGTAGTGGATTTTGTGGAACCATGCTTCAGTCCCATAGAATTTAGAACCCCAAAGAGAAGTGGCCAAGATTCGGCAACGTCTTCGTCCATAGCCAGTGCGTCTATATCACCGGTTGTTAAAATTGTTTCCAGTGATGAAGAGGTGAGATTGCACTTCTGTTATTTAGTTAATCTTTGTTCGTGGCAGCCTTTTTCTTTGTTAAGGTTCCTTCTATAGTGTTGAACTCGCGACTACGAGTTTGCAAATTTTGTCAGTAATTAATGAGATTCATATGACACCGAAATGATCAGGTTACATTGTATTAAGTGTCTGTTACAATTTTACATGTATTGGATTTTTGTAGTTATGCCAACATGTTTTTGCTGATAGAAGTATTTTTGATAAATTAACATCCAGCCTTAGTGTAAAAATAAATATAAGAGTTTGATCTTAAATGTAAAGGTCGAAAAAAAAAACAATTTTTATGTCAAAAGATCTCGAAGTTAAAGTGTTGTTTATACTTGACACCATGTTGCCACTTACCCGTCAATCGTAAAACCGTCTCTTGACTGCTATCCTTATTATTTATTAATATTATAAATGTGAAAGTTTGTGAGTATGGATGTTTGTTACTCTTTCACGCCAGAACGGCTGAACGCATATGGGTGAAATTTGGCACAGAGATAGATTATAGTCTGGAATGCATCTGAATAACACATAGGCTACTTATCCCGGAAAAATGTACGGTACCCGTGGGATAGGTTTGATTTTGGTTTGGTGTAGGTTGGGTTTTGGTGTAGTTCGTACGCCCGCACGATCAATCTGTCGAGACGGATTAGACTGAACTCGTAGATGTAGAGAATGAACTGAGCAATACTCTCATTAAATTGACCACTCTCTAGAAAGAGAGAAAGCAAACGTGCGGCCATAGGTTTCCTTTATTCCAGTTTCAATTTATAATTGGAATGTAAAAAATGATTACAGCGTGATAAAAAAATATGGTTACATATATCTATCTTCATTAATCGTAATTCAATTATTACAGAAGATTTCTGGCTGCATATTCGTTTTGTCTTTATCGTCTCGTTCGTTCGTCTTTCTCGTCTCTCCGCCATTTTTAGCGTACGGCTGGCAAAGAAACATTTAGTCCAATCTCTATTTCTATGGGGCCCTCACAATTAACCTCTCTAGACTTCTCAGTCAACTGAATGGATTAGTAGATTGTGACACAGCTAGAACAATGACATTTTATTTTTCTTTCAGAAAAACAATTTTACCTCACCCGAATCAGAAGCGATGGCTACATGTCTAGATTGTATTGTATCTGGCTCGGAATGTGATAAGAAAGCTACGTGTTTCTGTAAAACACCTCATAAATCGATTTTAACAAGAAGCACATCACTTAAAGATACATCGCCGTATAGAAAACGATTTTCACTGTCTGAAAAACGTAGCCTCAGTATGTCCAGTTTAAATAGAAGTCGGTCGGTACAGAAATTAGATTTTAGTATGGATATGAGTATTGATGGATCCATTCATAATAATTCACAAGGTAAGAATATGTTTTGTTTTTTTATTTTATTAGTTAAAATATTGTTTACTGTTTAATGTTGATCGTAAAATTTTAAAAATATATGTATAAAGATTTTGTTTATAATGAGATGTTGGAAATTCATAATTGTGCCAATTAAATATAGAATTATTTAGGTTTTAGTCTTTTGGTACTGGATAGTAAATGTAAGTAAATTACATTATATATTATTCTAAATGCCATTTAGTGTATCAAGCATTAGAAACCGAGATGTGTTTTTGAAATCAATATATTATTTATTACTAAAATAAATAAATTAATATAACATTATTTATAGGTTATACCTATTTTACAGCGGATTCAGAAGATTCTCCGGATATAAAAGAGATAGCTTGGAATTTACAAGAGGATAAAAGCATTCAGAAATTATTGAAAATCAGCCAGAAGTCGGATGAAATTCAGTCTTCCACAAAAATAATAAATATTAATCTATTAGACGCAACGCCCATTAAGGGAAAACGTAAAACAAATATATTGCACCATATTAGTAAAATTCGAGCCTCTGCACTCAGTCCGGCTCATATGTCACTAGATAACAGCTTAGATAATTTCGACATTCCAGTCATAATGGAAAACAAAATTGATTTTAACACAATTGATCTCAAATTTTTAAATGAAAATAACACGAAAAGCGATAGCTCTAGCTTTAAACGCGTCGATAGCGGGTTCAATGAGAATACATTTTATGCAAATGCATCTAGTTATTACGAAAGTGCCATAAAACCCTCAGAGTTGACTGTGACAAATACAAACATAAATAGTAGCTGTAGTAAAAGTGTGTTGAAGGAAACGTCCAATACAAATTGGATGAGAGTAGATAGCGGTTTTAATGAAAATTCAACCGATAGTATGCAATTTTATGCAAACGACACGTCTAAAAAAATTACCAGTTTTCAAGCTACGGATCCAAAATTGCAAGACAAAGAGAACGAGTTTGATAGATTCTTAATTCAAAATAAAAACGATGCTATTTCAATGTCGGACATTTTCACGGACGATTTAACTTTCAACTGCAACTTCTCTTCGACTCCATCTAAAAATAAATCGCGTAAAGTTAATTCTTAGATTTTTGTTTAGTGATTTTAATTAGCGGGAGGGTAAGGAAAAATGATTATTTCTTCGACAGAGTTTTTTTTTTATTTTCAAAATGAAGACAGTTTTTTTTATAAAGATAGATTAATCACGTGCTTATTGTTTATAGGTACTCAATACACACGGAAAGTAGTGATATAAAGAAATACATTTAATATTAAAGACGTATTATCACTTTAAGAGGTTTTAACAAAGATTTTTACTTGTGGTAATAGCAAATATTTTTTAAATGAAATTTACATGTCCATTGTGTCATTCTGTACGTAACAATATTAACACAAGTAGCTAAACTTTCATTAATAAATGTTAATTACTAAGTTTATTGAAAATATTTATTATGAATCATAAATTTGATAAATAATACAATATCAAACTTTCGCAGTGCCTGTTTTTAAACGGTATTTTTCCAATATTTTATGCATCTCATATTTTATTTGAAGGTATAGTAAAAATAGTGTATTCAATAGTCTATAGAAATGCCGTCAGCGCAATTAGTAGCCTTACCCACTGACAGCAACTTTTGAGGAAGTGGCTGTTAAATATTTTCATATTTTTTAAAAGGTTTTTATAGTTTTTCATTTAGCGGTAACTTGAGTTTGAAAGGTTTTTTAGCGTTTTTCATAGCTTATTTTCTTTTGAACTAAATTGGTTATAGACATCTAATAACTATTTTTCAAAAATGTGATTGAGGCCATTTTTGTATATATATATCTTCAAATTTTTTTAAATAGATTTGTGGAGTAGGCCAAATCGCGTGTAACTTTTCTCCCGCTATTATTATGATTCTAAATTTTATTCATATTAATTATTTTATTCATATACATTAATACCTACGATCGTATCTCATTCAGCCTAATCCACATAACAGCAATGACAATGCAAGTACACTGAACGACTTAGCTATTTTTACATTTCCAAAAACTTAAATTAAAATGCAAAAATGAATTTTTTGCGGCATTTTTTTATGTATAAATAAAACTGCAGCCAGATCTTTTGTATATTAAACTTTACCTAATTTAGAATATTTTGTAGTATTTAAGTCGAAAAAACAAAAAAAGAGTGGGTTAGGCTGTTTTTGCACTGATGGCCTGAAATATATGTTGGATATTAAAAAGCGTTTAAATATATTTGGAATTGTAGTTTATTTGCTGGAGTGTTGCACTTTCTACTTTACTATTTCAATAAGAGTGAGATTGGGTGAATGTGTTCCGAAGTAGTTGAAACGGATTGAAACTGCTGTTATATTTGTAGAATGAAGAGTGAAGTGAAAAGTCGCTATATCTTTATTATATTCTTTATTCTTCTAAGGACTTACAATCACATATCTTAGACTAAAGAATTATCTAGATCGAGTCCGCCAAAAAAATGTCGAAGTCCAAAATAGTAGAATGATTCTGCCGTTTACGCTGCTATTCCCGATACAATATACCTATACTTTACTCTCTTCAGACAATAAAAAAAAGAAAATATTATCAATAATAATTTAATAAACATATAAACTCAAAACGTTTAACTTCAAGTTTAGTTCTATGTCGCTGTCTATGTTATTTTTTAATCTAAGACTTATTCTTTTTTGTTTAAATTAAATGAACCAACTTAGTGCATCTTTGGTATAAGACTTTTTAAGTAAACCAAGTGCCATATTTCTTGTTATATTCATAAATAGTTTTTTTTTTAATTCTTATTGTACTACTTGACTCTTAATTTTGTGTTTGTCACTATTTACTCATTTTGAGGGTGTTTTTTTTGTTTATTAACATGAATTTTGTAAGCATTTATTAGCATTTAGTATACATTACTTTCGACTGAAATCCATTATTGTGGTTTTTTTTAAATTATGTTTATAGTTTTATTGCTGATTGTGAAGTGCATGAAATAATTATTTTTGATTGTGTGTTTATTGGAATATAGTGGCGTTTAATAAATAAAGTGGAGACTGACTTTTAGACATTTTATTTTTATTCATGCTTGTATTTTTTTATTTTTTTTTTACATTGCCATACAATCGCAAAAAATGACATAAATATGGTTAAATGGTCTTTTTATTAATTTTTAGTTCGGTTTTTTTTAGATAATGTTTATTTATTTGGTACCGGCTTTGGTAGCCGATGAGTCCTCACCCACTCACTCCACCTGCTGTATATTTGCTGGATTGTGAGTTTCTCAAATACCAACGTTAAAAAAGGACAGTACATGCAACTTTATATTACAACTAGCATTGCCCGCGGCACCGCCCGCGTTCAGATGACCAAAAACCAAATTCTTAGGTTTTACATATTAGTATACTCTTACATTGCAGTTTTTGTATTTTTTCTCAGAAATGAGATATTTTCCCGCGATAAAAAGTATCCTATATGTTGACCCGGATAACCAGCTATCACTATACTAAATTTTATCAAAATCCCTCCAGTGGTTTTTCCGTCATGCGGTAACAGATAGACAGACAGACAGACAAAAATTCTAAAAACTATAGATTCGGCCTCTGTATCTATATTAACGTCTATATCAATAAGATTTTTCAAAAAATATTTAATGTACAGATTCGGCTTAGTTACAATTTTATTATATGTATAGATTGCCATACGATGCGTCTTATGCGCATTTCCCGTAATCCGATGGACATGTTTATAAACAATGTTAAAGAAAAACATATATTAATAACATTGCGTATACAGTATATAAGCCATGTATTAACTTACTTGAGTCTTGAAATGTTCGATGACGAGATATTTAAAATGCATGATGCGAACTCACTCTTGTTTTAATCAAGTATCTGAAATGTTTTAATTATTTCTTCTTCTTCATATCAATAAGAATAAATTGCAATGACCATAAGGGAATTTACATATTATCATTGTTATGGCAATGAATCCATTGTATATATTAATTTATATATTTTTATCTTGTTACAAAGTCCGTTTATTATGTTATTATTGTTTTTTTTTCGACAATGACGCTATTTATAATATAATTATAATGAGATATTTTTAGGTATATATCTCTTAATATATAATATCTCTTTAAATAGTAAGTTTACTTTACCTAGGGTACTTTTTTTTAACGTTGGGAAATTCATTTAGGCAAGAGGTGTGGGACTCACCGGCAATTGCACTGCATAAAAGCTAACTAAAAAGATGAAAACAAGTTCACGAAGGAATATATATGTAGTAGGTATTATAAACAATAAAATCTAGCAGCCCCCATTTTTTGTCACCTATCTAAGAACACTTGACTAATGTGACGAATCTAACGATACCTTAATTAAAAAAATCCATCGAGTGGTTTGGAAGAAATGAGGGAATAAAGAATATAACAAACAAACATACAAAGATAGGCGCGAAAAACATAACCCTTTCCTTGCAGTCGGGTAAAAAACCCGTGCTGGACTTTTATACAGACTAACAGCATAGTTGCTAAGTCTTAATACTAAAGTCATAAGATAAAATTTACCCCATATAAAGTTGACATCGCAAGATAGATTTTGATATGGTGAAAAACGGTAACTAGTAGGCAAGTGTCGAGATTCAAAGAACTGCAGTACATAGTTCGTATATTAATTAGTCTCGTATTCTCGTTTAATCGGCAGACTGTTCGTGCGTCAATCGTATTTAACAAATAACTTTTTGATAACGTCGTAACCCCTCTTATCGGCATATCCCGGAACGTCTGCGAACTAGAAGCAATGCGGATCTATTAGTGGATGTATGTATGTACTGAGATCTTAAGTGCATTTATGAACTATATATACAAGAGACGCCTTGAAAACAATTCATTACACATTCTACTGAGCTGTTAGTAGGGCGCTTTTGTACAATACATATCATATTTCACAGAATACGACTGATAAATACACACGTGGCTATTTCGCTTTCATGTAACATAGTTTGGTGAAAATAATTAGTGTGTGTTGTTCAAAATGTTGAACAAAACGAGTGCTACTCTGATGCTTCAGACTATAATGGTGTTGATGGATAAGCAAAACACCTCCGTCACGAATTTTCCCAGTACATTTTATGGTTAGTTAATTTTGTAATACATTTCATAAATATAAAGCCTAGTTAAAGAAAATATTTAATAGTTTGATATACTAATTTTATTATTTTTATGAATTTTAAAGTCAACTTAAAATTATTATTTAGAGGGAAAGACAATTTTAAGAAAACTTTAAAAGTCTATCCTTACATAATATAAATATGTATATTAATTTTTCTAAATGTGTAGGTAGGTATTAGAAAAAAAAATCTAATGGTTTTTATTTGTGTTTAAGAGGATGCAGAATTGGAGCGATGCTACAGTCCATACGGTTGTTTCTCAAAGGCGTATCCGTGGACGGAACATCGACCTGACAACTACTTCCCCTTTTCTCCAGACGTATTGGGAGTGAGGTGAGTACCTGCAACATATTTAATTGATTATATGTACAATGTACTGATGTATGATTAAGTTAATTTTTATTTGCCATAATTATTACAATAGTAATTTATAAGCTATGTATGTCTGTATAATATTTTCACCACCTTAAGGGATGATTTCCAGGATAAAATGTATATTATGTCCTTCCCAGGGTCTCAAACTATCTTCTTGCCAAATTTCATCTAAATCGGTTCAGTAGAACCAGAGATTACCCCCTACAACGTCACAAACTCACAATTCACAAACTTTACCTCACTTTATAATATTAGTTTACATAAGTTAGGCTAACTATCTCCACTACGTTTCTACATAAATAAGCGCCCTGGTGATTTAGTATATTACTCCACTTTCTATTTTTTATAATCACGTTTGTTGGTTGGTCGACTAAAGCATACTACCATTTAATCTAAATAAATATCTTCTTTTATGGCCAATTTCATTTTTTTATTTTAAAATCTTGAGATGTACTTTAGTCTATTCCATTGTTTTATACGTTCATCAATTATTAGATTTATATTTAGATAGATCTTTTAAATTAAGCAAGAAATAGAATATTGGTATTTTAACCTGGTACCCCTAATAAAATATTTTAAATTTAAAGTTGCTTATGTATTATGAAAATAAAAATTTGTTTATCAATAATAGTTATGAAATTAAAAAGACTGCGGTTTTATTACAATTTAATGAAATTTCCTTTTTGTGCGGTTAAACTACGGATTGAATTATTGAGTAGCTTAATAACGTATTTGCTCAAGTCAAATTTTTTATGTACTTACCGGACTTGATAAACTTCTAAAAATCCGGTTAAAAATATTTTAATGGCTTTCAGGTCTTTCAACCTTAAAAAACGTCGATCTCAAAGTATATAATACGAAGAGACGTTTCTTAAACAAATGCTGTATGCCCAAGGCTCATACCTACTTATCTAATTGTCCAATGTTTATAACCCATATACTTGGGTTCAATCAGGAATCGAACCTGCCCAAATCGTAAGCATAGTAAGAAACACTGAGCATTACTGATTGTATAGAAAAATCTGCCAGTAATATCATTCGAGTAGTACCTAATCATTAAAGCTTTATATCTTATATGAATTATTAATAATTAGTTATGTAACTTGTTAATCAATGTTCAAAGCATTAAAGCTCTAATAAGTACACTTCTCATATAACGTGATCTTCTGTCATAACTGCTAGCAATACTGAAACAAAGAGGTTTATTTTGATCAAATACTAGTTTCTGAATATAGCTAATCGTGTGTAATCTAAAAATATAACTTTTAGTATCTCATATCTAATAAAAGTTATGTTAATCATCTTATACCTGCGACTCAACCTCGCTTAGCTCGGGTTCGTCCCTAGGTTGCTTCCCCATACAAAATTTCGCGCCCATTTTCACCCCCTTAAAGGATGATTTCGGGGTAAAAACTATCCTATGTCCTTCCCTATGAGCCTATTCGATACAAACAAACAAAAAAAAACAAATTTTGCCTCTTTATAATTTTAGAATAGATTATACACAAATTAATTAAAAAAACAAAATTATGAAACTAACAGGCAATTGCAGTCTATTAAATATATAATATTTAAAAAAAAATCAAGTTAAAATATCTGTATAAATATTATGAACTAGCGGCTCACCCTCGCTTCGCTCGGGTAGAAAAACACTGATAGAGATCTATTTGTTCCCACGGGAACCGTTCATTTTCCGGGATGAAAAGTAACCTGTTGTTTGACCAGAATGTTAAATTTTACTAAATTAGGTGTATAAGTTGTTGTATACTAAGCTGTATAAGATACTATAGTTTTTTAAATATCCCACGGGAACTCTTTAATTTTATGGGATGAAAAGTATCTAAGATGTTCACCGGGGATATAAGGTACCACCATGCAAAATTTCATTTAAATCGGTCCAACAGTTTCGGAGATTAGCCCGTACAAACAGACAGACAGAGAAACAAAAAATTTGAAAAAAAACTTTGATTTGTTCTATTTGTCTTCTTACATCCCCCTGACTCGGTTTTTAGCATTTTTTGCTATGTACAGACATTCGACCTCTACTGTTTTATTATAGTATAGATGTTAAAGTTTGCGAGTATGGATGTTTGTTACTCTTTCACGCCAGAACGGTTGAACGGATCTGGATGTAAGGCACAGATATAGATTATAGTCTAGACTCTAGAATAACACATAGGCTGCTTTTTATCCCGGAAAAATATACGGTTCCCGAGGGATAGATTTGTTTTTGTTTTTCTAGAGGTGAAATCGAGCGAAGCGAGGGTGAGCCGCTACTCTACAATAAAAAAACTAATCATTGGTTGAGCTATTTTTTAGTGATGCAAGCACAAACAGACTGATACATTTAAAAATGTCAAATTATTGATTTGTCTATTTTCCAATTTTAAACATCTTCATCTTGACACTTTGACACAATTTTAAAAAAACAAGATAAAAAATATATATTGTTTTTTAAAATATTTATAAAACCATTGTAACGTATAAAAAAGTTTCTATTTAATAATCTTTACATAGTATCTTCGATCAACAATACTACTGTTGATGGAAGCATAGTATAAAATGATATTGCTTCCGCTGTCTGTTCGCTTAGATCTTTTGAACTACTCAACGGATTTTAATGCAGTTTTCAGCAATAGATAAAGTAATTCGAGGGAAAGGTTTATATGTATAACAAATGCATATTATAGAACAGAAAAGCCAAGAAATTCAATCAAATCAAAAATTAAAACGTATCTGGGGACGAACCCGAGCGAAGCGAGGGTGAGTCGCTAGTTTTATCTTAGAGGGTGTGTCTTTTACTAGCGATGATGTCATTAGACGTATAGATAAGGCTTGTTTATCCCAGCCGCAGTCAATTGTAAGCAGATAGATAAGATTCTTCATAATTAGCCGTCGCATTGCATCTGTTAACTCATTATACGACGCGCTTATTAATAAATACCCTACAATTGCATTAATTAATGATTATTTGTAAACATTTATAATATCGATACACATAGTAGTTATTGGTTATTGGTATTATAACTTTGTAATTGATTAATTTTATAAAGGCTTAAAGTATTTTCATTTTAAATTAAACTTACACTACAAAACTTTAAGTTTTCATAATATTTATAATAAAATTATTTTGAAAAATATATAATCAATTTTTGTTGTATGTAAGTCAATTAGGTGTTAATGCATTTATCAATATGTATCTCAGTATATTGATTGTAGGGTATCGGAAATACAAAGTGTGAAGAACAGTTTTATCCTACATAAACATACATACATATATGTACATATGTATTTATTATTATAATGCGTGTCATCAGCTTTTTTCAGTGTGATGAAAAACTGCTGCAGTATAATCGCGCGTACAATGCTTTTAAACTAAACATTTCAATACATATTTTTTGATCAAAGCTCACTTGTAATCAGAAAGGCTCAACAGTCATCGTTAGTCTCTACTTTCTAAATAGCAATAGTGGTTTATATTTTAACATTTTCCATAGAAGGCTTTGAATTATAATAATTATGAATGTACATGTTTTTTTTATTAAAGTAAATTAGGGCAAAAATGTCCATCACTTTATCAATCGGTCAACAAAGGAGGCACTTATCGAGCTTAAGTTCTAGATGTCTTCTACGGTCAAAGTACAAGTATCCTAAAATATATACCTAGCTGATAACAGGCGGGGGCTCGTCCGTGACTCCACTCTATCAATACTGAGACACAACAAATATTTGTCTTATAATTGCATTGTGACGTTTTATCGTAAAATAAATAAATTATATTTTTTGTGGACAAGCACGACGACGACAGGGCTCGACAATTTTTGGACTACAGAGCTTGTCGCTAGTTTGTTTTAAGATAAAGTTATAAGTAGGTACTAGGTAGTGCATATTTATTACACGTATTGGTTATTTAATTAAGATTAACAAAGAATTAAATTGAATAATTTACATTAGAATATTTATGATTTTTTTAACAAAAAATAAAAGAGCGCTTTGATAATATAAAATAGATATTTAAAGTTGGTGACGCACCAAGTCAAAGATAATATGATGGTTAGCTATTGTATTGCAGATGGAAGACGCACGATTGTATGTATGTATGTATTCAGCCCTATTTAATATCCCACTGCTGCGTACGGGCCTCCCTTCAATATGAGGGGGATCAGGCCATAGTTCACCACGTTGGCCAAGTGCGGGTTGGCCAGCGTGGTGGACTATTACCTGATCTCCCTCATTGTAATGCAGAATAGAATATCAAGCAGGTACTTTAACGTATTAAGTTTATTTCTGCACTTATAACGGCAAGTATCGAATACTTGAGCTTTCCTTCCGTTTTAAAAATGAATAGACCGTCTAAAAAGCTCACCCTTAAGTATAATAAAGGGCGGCTCACAAGATATTTGAATATTATTTGAAGAGGTTATTGTTAGTTACTGCAAAGTAACAAATACTAAAACCAAAATCATTATTGATTTACGTACTTACAGTTTTAAAACAATTCTTCCCTTTGAATTTACCTTTTAAATAAAATAAATATTTTTAACTAAAAAAAGGTACACAGAGTGCAACTTTTTTCTTTTTATTTATGGGACCGCCTTTGTGCTTTAAAAAAGTATTAAAAAATCGATTCACAATTGGCGAAGACATCGGGTAACATGCCTACACACAAAAAACAAAATACAACCGAAATAACTTTTGAAGTCAGTCTTTCAAAAATAACTTTGCAACTAATTATTAAAATTGTCAGAAAAAAACCTTTAGTAGGTATTTAAGAAACTGTTGTAACAATCGTATTATAAATAAATATTTTTACTATTTCAGATACGCTGTGTTTACACGAAGAAATAGGAAGATACCTGTTCTCTTACAGGCAAAAGACACAACAAAGATTCAGAATGCTAATCTCGATCCCAAAGGACCTTTCTACTTTATATCACATGGGTTTTTGGAAGGCGGACATAAATTATGGGTACAAAGCTTTTTATTTTCCTTGACTTATTCTTTTTTTTCTCTCTCTCCATTCTATAATATCTTATATCTTTCTACGATTAAAAAAGTACCTATTTTTGGACAATATTTCCATATTTTGAAGTCTTATCTACTTGTTACAATTATTACTTTATGGGGGTTATCTTATAGGTACGTGTGTTTATATCATCTTATATCCAAATTAGGGATTTCCCGAAGTTTTTTTTATACTACTCAGATTATTACGGAAGCCTGAATATGTTGTTGAAACAAATATTGTGTAGAACTCTTTAGTGATTAAATATGCTTTTGTTATTAGCGTAGCACTGATTTGTTTTAATGTACCTTTAATCATATGGTGATTTATAGATTACAAGCTACTTACCGTCGCTCGGGCGCGTCCCTAAGTACCTAATTGCAGCCTATGTGTTACTTCTGGTTCTTCCGGTCATAGCTTATCAATATACTAAATATCATCCAAATCCGTCCAGCCGCTTGGAAGGAGTAACAAACATACTCACATAAACATACAAACTCACATTTTTAATAGTAGTCCAATATATTTTTTTAAGATTCAACATATGGCGGACGCCCTTTTAAACCAAGCAGGGAACGATGCTGCAACAGTTGTTGTTGTAGATTGGCGAAGAGGGTCTCAACCGCCTTATGGACAAGCGGTGGCAAACATAAGGCTGGTTGGCGTCATGACAGCGTATTTGATACATAGTTTTTATGTAAGTAAAGTAGTGTGTCAACATGGTTTTTTACCGATATATAAACATACGTTTAAGTTTAAAAGTACATAATAATTGAAATAAAAGGAATTCTTTAAAAGTAATTATATTATTTCATCCTTATTATCAAAGTTTATCTTGGTTTCATATAAATGTAATATACACTATTGATTAAAAAACTCGTGTTAATCGGTTCGCATATGGCAAATGCAAAAGAAATTTACATCCGAATTGAGTATGTTCTCTTTTTAAAGTTGTCAAAAATAAATTTGTCCAAAATAAACTTTTTATTTGGAAATACATTATTTATTTAAAAATGCTTCAAAAATGCTGCATTTAAATTGATCTTGTTGTCTTTTGAATTCGATGATAAATGACTAAAATAAGTTAAAATTAAACTAATATTAATTTGTGGGTGAAAACTATATAACAGATTTTGTCGTTTTTTATAACTTTTATTTATCTTTTCAGGACATACTACAATTGTCGGATTTGAGCAATTTCCATTTCATTGGTCATTCTTTGGGAGCACATTTAGGCGGTTACTGTGGACATGCTTTACAAAAGGTAAGCGCATATCCTCTTCCAATATTATATTTTACTAATGTGTGGAACGCTAGAACGGCTGAACGAATCTGGATGAAATTTTGTACAGAGATAGATTATAGTCTGTAATAAGCACATAGGCGATTTATGAATTTTAAGATACAGGTGCAAAAAGACATGTAAATTATTAAATAAATATTTCGTTTTAAATAGATATAAATAGTTATTAACCAGCGTTAGCCATATAAATTTTTTTTTCGTTAAATTTTCTGTTTTAATACTTATTATTATCCTATTCCGGACTAAGAGAAATCCAAAAAGTCTAATAACATAAAAATTGGTCCAGCCGTTCTTCAGTTATAAATGGTGTAACTAACACGTCTTTGTTTTATATATATATATATATATTGACATTTTCAGAAATTTAACCTCAAATTGGGCCGAATCACCGGGTTAGACCCCGCGGCGCCATATTTCAGTAATACAGTGACTCTGGTGCGTTTGGACAGATCTGACGCGGATTACGTCGATATTATCCATACTAATGCAATGCCATTGTACTTCTCAGGTAATTTAATTTTACACTCACAATATTCACTCATTCGTATTACAGACTAAGGTAATAAGATAAACTAACTTTCACACTAGTGAAAGGCAGTATGTACGTGATGAAAACATATAATTGTTCTATTTACACATTCAAAATATATGTTTTTGTTATGTACGCTGCTTAACTACACAGTACTTACTTCATTCTAAGACCACTTTAAATTCAAAGAAAGAGCTTAAATAAAACTTTCTTTACGAATTTTTCCGCGGATTTATTTTAATTTTTGATTCCCGACGTTTCGAATGCTTTACAACAATCATGGTCGCCGGAGAGACTTACCGGAAAAGATAGATTTATTTAATATGACAAATATTCGTGTAGATCTAGAAAGTATTAAAGTGAGCTTATATAACAAAGTTAAATTATTACCAGGTTTCGGTATATCAGAACCGATAGGCCACGTGGATTTCTATCCAAACGGCGGTTCAATACAACCTGGTTGCAAGAACGACGCGCCCACTTACCAAGGGATGGACAATGATATGTACTTGCAAGTGGTGAAGTATGTGAGCTGCAACCATGAGAGGAGCTATGAGTTGTTCACAGAAAGTGTGGCTCCGAGTTGCCCCTTCATGGCTATACAGTGTAGATCTCATGAGGTATGGCTGACTTTTTGTAATTTTTGTTATTATAATTACCTTGCAATATTGTATGGTTCCTCGAGTGTTATTGATAATTTCTTTTTGTCTGAACCGATACTCGAACCCAGGACTTTATTTAAGCAGTCGTACAAACTAACCATTTGAATAAGAAGGTAGTTGAAGCTCTATTACTTATATCATATTTATATGAATGTTTATATATAATAACTACCGACCTAGCCTCGCTTCGCTCCGGCGCATCCCTAGATACGCGGATGTTGTTTATAATTTTATAGTTTTTAATTTTTTTGCCCGAAACCCTAATAATTTTTCTAAAATAAAAGTAGCCTAAGTTACTTCTTATAACATCAGCTTCTTATAACCAACCGTTTCAGAGATTAGCCGGAACAACCAAAAAACGGATAATGTTTTTAAAAAATGTTTCTTATAAGCACCGTATATACTTTCTTAAGATTCATTTCAATTCAATGTATGTTTTAATTCACGTCTAACTTCCTTTGATTCCTTTGTTATTACATGTTTCCAGGCGTTCCTAGAAGGCAACTGTACAACATGCGACAACAAGCACCTGTGCGTGCCGCTGGGCCTGCACTCGTACGAGACGTACCGGCGGCTGCGCGCGCGCGGCGTCGTCGAGTCGAACGCCAACGTCGCCTTGTACGCTCTCACTGGAAGATCTAAACCGTTTTGTCGTGAGTTTTGCTTTTATCATATTATACTAATGATTAGCGACGCTCGCTTCACTCGGTTTGATCCCTAGGTTGATTCCCCATACAAAATTTCATCCCCATTTTCACCCCTTTAAGGGATGATTTCTGGGATAAAAAGTTTAATATATCCTTCCCGGGGTTTCAAACTCTCTTCTTACCAAAATTTTATCTCAATCGGTTCACTAGATCCAGAGATTACTCCCTACAACGTCACAAACTCACAAACTTTACCTCTTTATAATATTAATATAGATAATATAAATTAACTGCATCGATTTTTTGAAACTATTGATTTGAAATTGATTCTAATTTGTTTAAATTTTTGTCATAATAAATTTTTTGCTTAATCTTTAAAAAGCTTTAAATTTAGATTTTCATTTTTAATACCACAAGTTACTATTAAGATTTTATAAAGTTTGATAGCTAGATTTAAAAAATATCGTAATTTGTGAATGTACGAAAATACCATGCCTGTACTATATTTTTTTATGTTTATATTATATAGTTGTTTAATTTAAATATATTTTTATACAGGAGTTCACTACGAGGTTACTTTAAAAGTATCTAATTCATCTGAGAGTAGGGTGCACGGTCCGGACGTGGGCCGCGTGTCTATCACTCTCGTGGACAGGAACAATAATAAAAGCGATCACAAGTTTATGAATGATGAACAGTGAGTACTTTTTTTTTCATTTAACTCAATTTTATTGCTAACTAGTTAAACCCATGGCTTCGCCCGCGTTCAAAGTACAAACAAAACAAACCCTTCTTTCCATTCCGTTTACAATAATGTATGGGGAAGTCTGTCCGATTTGTTGACATTTATTATTACTGCATCCCTACCCTTGGGTAGTAGAATCATAATATATAGCTTATACCTATAGCCTTCCTCAATAAACGGACTATCAAATGCAAAAAATAATTTTTCAAATCGGACTAGTAGTTCCTGAGATTAGCGCGTTCCCATCATGCCGTGCCGCAAATCGAATCACGAATGAATTGTATTAAGTTTTAATTAATATTGGTATATAAAATATACATAATATGTATGTAATTATTACTTATATACTTTGTAGAGATTTTGCCATTGTAAATTTATAAATTAAAAGTATTAAGATATTTTTTTTTGATTTACTAGGCTTTTTACTAAAATAACACGTTAAATTAATTTTATCTAGTGACTAGTTTAAATTTCAAACAATTTCCAAACGTGCCAAAAAAGTACGAGTATAACTTCAAAAAAATTAAAATATCTATATCTTACAAATTGTGGCAAGTGCGGGTTTAAAGGTCAATATTTTTATTAATTTCATAATATTTTAATAAGATAACCTAACTATCTACATTAAAACGTATACACGGAACTAAATTATCGATGTTTATAAACTGCACCTTTTTTTTATTAAGTTTTGTACGGTATTATAAAAAAATTATATGACGTTTCATTTAAAATTACGCAACATATTTTCAACTTATATTTATAGACGTTTGTATGAAAACATATAAATGACGTATAAATAAACATGGCACAGTTATTATTACCTTTTTGTAGTTTCTTATAATGATATTTCATAGTTCTTTAATACTTTACATTTTAGAAATTGTTGATCTCTCTCTCTCTCTCTCTCTTTTTCTTTCTCTCTTTCCTTATTTTTCTTTTCCACTTCACTATCAGAGATATCGTCTTCTAAAAACCTGCAATTCTTCATGTTCTTTGACTTTACATTTTTCCATCTAGTTTTTGGTCTGCTTAATTGAGTAAAATTATATTTTAAGAAGTAAGTAGTTTAGAGAAGAACAAATTTTTTTACATTTTATTTATTTATACTGGACAAGTCTTTGCCCGCGGCTCCGCTCGCTTATTAAACGTTGCAGGACAAGGGTAGCCTATGTCCAACCCCAGGATGCAATTTATATCCTTGGCAAAATTTAACAAAATCTGTTTATCCGTTTAGTATTGACAAGGTAACAGAGAGTTACTTTCACATTTATCACATTAGTATGTATTTTTTATTATTGGTACTAATATAAATTGAAATTTTACAGAAAATATTACAGACCAGGAGATCTCGAAACTAAGTTGATTGCGTTTAAAGATACGGGCTATCCACCATTATCAGTTATCGTCGAATGGAAATACGAAGCGAATTTGCTAAACCCCATGACATGGAGGCTACTCAAATCGTCTAGTATTTACATAGAATATATCAAAATATCATCTATTGAATATAATACTGAGTAAGTATCCACTTATAAAAAAAATACATCTATACATATAATAAAATTGTAACTGAGTCGAATCTGTACATTAAATATTTTTTGGGATGACCACTTTCTTGGCTGGCTACTTTCTATCAACCTTCCACAGCGGAGGTGTGGTCAAAAAATATTATTGAAATAGTCATTATTATCGAAAAACAAAAGCCGAATCTATAGTTTTTAGAATTTTTGTCTGTCTGTGACGGCATCAAGAGAATACCACTGGACAGATTTTGATGAAATTTGGTATGATGATACGATCCGATTACGGTACGATACGATTGAGATCATATTCATTTCATGTTCTTTACATAAATGTTTTATTGAGATAGTAATTCGTATCCAAAGTAAAATCCGTTAGGTCGCGCTGTAGTCAAGTCATTAATAAATTAGTTATTTATTATATATTATATATTACTTTTTTAGCTTACATTAAATATTAAATTACTAAATTAAATGAAAAATTTAAATTTCGCGACTTCTCGCTGTGTCTTGATAAAATCTTACCTTACCTTTGTTTATAAAATAGTATTTTATATTCTGATAAATCAAGGATATAAAATGCTATTTTTTAAACAAAGTAAGGTAAGATCCTACAATATACTGATCAACAAATAGTTGATCTAAAAATGCGATTAAGGAAAATTACTTATTTTATCAATCTCTTATCTTACAACGACAATTTACTTTAAAAGTCCGTAATAATTAAATGAAATTTTATTTGTTTTAGTATCACAGTGTGCCCGAAGTCTATGAAACCAGTTGTTACAAACTTGCCAACAATCATGAAGACAAAGTATTGCAGCTTTACATAATTATTTTTCAGATGTGGTTAGTAATTTGTATATTTATATGTATAAATTGATTAGCACTCAAAGAAAATGTTTGCTTTGTATCAATGCAAGTTGAAAGTATTATTTATCCTAATAGTATTTTTATTAGTTAAGATTATATTAAGAATTGGTTAGAAAAATTAGGTAAAATGATTAAAAATTATATAATATTCACTGTATATACATACAATGAATGTTACATGTATATATATTGTTATTACTTTTTAAATAATTAAATGTTTAATTCTATGTAACACTTGTTTTTTTTCCTATTCCCAATTAAACTTAATGTATGTGATAAGTGAGAAATTTGTAGGTGATGCTTTGAGTTTTTATAAATTCCACTATCGTTTTGGGATTTTGAAAGTTGTTATAGAATAATTTTTATAAAAAATATTTTGTCTGTTGTGGAAAAATATTTTGAAAGTTAAATGTTTTGGCACATTCAAGACAGTTTATGTAATGTAGTAATAATAATGCTTGTCTACTGAAACAAAAATGTAATGTCTACAATATTTAGGGTTGAAACTATTAAGAGGTAGTGAGACAAAGTAATGTTTGGGCGGACTAATAAAATACCATACAGCGCCATCTATTGAAAAAAATAATAATATGCCAATTATGTTGGTCTCAAAATAATTCAAAGATGCATTCTTGTAAGTCATTAATTGATGTATATTAGGCTACTATTGGAAATAATAAAGTTTGTGCGCGTGTGTGTATGTTTGTACTCGCTGAGCCGTTGCACGGATTTGGATGAAATTTAATAGATAAACCTGTAGTAATGTACAAGCTTGTTTTAGGCACTTGGAGATGTACCCGGAGGCACAGATCACATAATACTATAATACTAGTATAGGTGGCTTATCCCATACAAAGAAATTGGACAGCGCTAATTCGGGCTATTCTTAGGGCTATTTTTGTTTACTTGAATAAATAAATTTAAATTTATTAAATATAAAAATTAATAATTGAAAAAATTTAGACATCTACTGGATAGATGAATGAACAATAATCCACGGACAAAAAATGTTTTGCTCGATTTTATTCTATTAGTGTTATGCATTAGTTAATTAACAATTTTTACCTACTGGACATGAACATTGCAAGTGCGATAAATTTTTTTTTTTTTTTTTTATACCACGTCGGTGGCAATCAGGCATGCGGCCCGCCTGATGGTAAGCGGTTACCGCAGCCTATGGACGCCTGCAACACCTTGGGCATCACATGCGCGTTGCCGACCCTTTAAAAACCTATTTACTCCCCTTTTGAAGGACCCCATACTGTAGCCCTCTGGGAAAACCTCGGCAGGGAGTTCATTCCACAGCGAGATGGTCCGTGGGAGAAAGTTAAAGCAATATGAAATGTTGAATAACAAGTTTGAGATTTTTATCCTTTTTTGGAACTATTTTTGAAAGGTCTCAGAAGAGATTCCCGTTGGAAAAATTAAAAAAATGTTATTTTTCACTTTGTTTTCAACAATGTTCAAATAAATGCTCATTTGTTGAGGAGATTTTTTGTCGCTGATTGTGTATCTAGTACTTTGTTGTTCGATAAAAGTAAAGAAATAGAATTTATTGCTCCGTTAATAAACAAGACGTTGATAACGTTTTACTACAGTATATAATATTATGATATTATTTCATAATATTTCTTATAAGAAAAAAATGTAAAAGTCTGTGAACATCTGTATCTTCTGTACTTCTGTCTAGTGTCTACTGTCATTAGTGTCAAAATTGACAATTTTGTTAGCATGGGTGTATCTTTACTGTGTTATTATGATTTCATAATTCATTTCACGTAATAATAGTTATATCATACCCTATCCTTTGTGATACTTCTGGAACGAGGGCGTAGTTTACCTTTGAACACAATGGGAGATAATCGAAAAAAGAAAAAGTTTTACTTTCGTAAACGTAGAAACAAATATTGTTTGGAACCCGGCTTTAGAGGTTTCTTTTGCACATGCAACTTTAGGGAGAAAGATTGTGTTAAAGAAATGTATAATTTGCTAAACGAGTACGCAAGCAAGTTGTATCCAGATGAAGATCCTCAGCAGCAGGAAAGACCAGCTTCAGTAGATTCCGAAGAACGATCTGATAGTGAATCTGATAATGAGACTGATATTGGAGATATGCTCAAACGTGAGGTGGAAATTATGAAAAAAGATTCTCGAAAATCTCTGAGACATAAACGATTCCAAGTTGTAGAGACAGGAGCTTCTAACTGCATTTTTATCAAGACTAATTTACCTTGTCCAGAAGAATTAACAAATGCTATTATAAAAGACCTCTCGACAACCAAAGTGCAAAAAACGAGACATGTGTTGCGTTTATTACCAATCATGGCCACTTGCAAAGCAAACTTGCCCGATATTATGGAATGTGCAGGGAAACTATTTGATAAATATTTTCTGAAAGAGCCATCAACATTTGCTGTTATTTTTAATAAAAGATTCAACAGCAGTGCTTCTCGAGACCTTATCATAAAAGAACTTGCCGATATGATTGTTCTTAAGAATGGTGGAAACAAAGCAGATTTAAAAAATCCTGGTTTGTGTATTATAGTTGAGATAATAAAAGGAATGTGCTTACTGAGTGTTGTAGACAATTATTATTCTTATAAGAAGTATAATTTACATGAAATATGTAAAGAAGAGACAGTAAATGATTCTGAAGAGACACAAGCAAAGAAGTTCAAGGCTGACATATCTCAACCAGTGGAACAAAGTAAAGAACAGTAGAAATGTTTCTCTCTTTATTGTATTCCAATCTAGGTTAAGGCAACCTGGGGCCCCATACCAATTCTTGCACCAAATTTTCTCTATTTCTTATCTTTTTAAATAAATGTATGTTTACTATATAAAATAAATGTGTAACTATAATAAGGTGTTTAATTTATGATACCTACATTGTATTGTTATTTGAACATTTCAAAGTTCTACATTACATAATGTAATGAAGACTGAATTGTTTGTTGTTTTAAATAATTTGTAAACAAGCAAATATGTTGACATTTAATGTCTTTACATGTTTACATAAGATACAATAAGTTATTTGTGATATAAGAGATATTATGTAAGAATTATATAACTGTTATGTAACTAAATCAGTAGGGTTAGACAGTAGGTAACTTATCCACCTATGCGAACCATAACTTAACAGTAGAACCACATCCTTCCAGAAGCTTTATTGTAGTGCCACTAGATGGCATTACTATACCTGTTTAAATTCTTAAAAGTTAATTGGTAGGTAGTTAAATTAAAGTACATTTCATTAGGTTAGTCTGTAAAAAAATGTAAAATATTTTTTTTAATATGAAATGATATTACAACTACATACATTTTGTATAGAATATAATATGAATTAATTTTCGGCCATAACCCCATAAGGCATCCCGGCAAAGCTTATCCGGGAATTCGAGTTATGAATAGTTCCAGTGAACATTCTGTACATGTGTTTGAGCATCAATAGTCTACAACTTGTAGCCGTGATTTATTGTAACCCCACAAACAAATCCTAATGACGTTAAATTATGCAAATCCGGTGGAACGTTTATTATATAATTGGGGACGGGACACGGGTGCGAAGTATATATTATATAATGTAATCTGTGGTGATGACTGGATTTAGTCACGAAACGACGAATAGCTGCTGTGAGTAGAATACCCAGATGCAACAGGGCAATTTTTTGTATTGTACTTAATAGTGCCGTAGTTTGGCTCGAATGAAATTCTTACAATCTTTACTCTTTAGAGTAAGTACAGCTTATTGATTTGCGTAATAAAATTGTAGAAAATTAATTTCATGTAACCCTCCTAAAAAAATATTTTGTAATAGTAGGTAAATACTAACGAAAATTTGCTCTAAATGTAGTCTTCAAGCTAGATTCACTGAATTTATATTTACAGTGTATAAACTCTATAGCGAAACATAAGAGATCGAGCATATTTTTTCGTTATATCGAGTGAAGAAAAAAATCCATTTTCTCTAATCACAATAATCTATACATACTAATATTATAAAGAGGTACCTAAAGTTTGTGAATTATGAGTTTGTGACGTTGTAGGGTGTAATCTCTGGATCTAATGAACGATTTAGGTGAAATTTGGTAAGAAGATAGTTTGAGACCCTGGGAAGGACATAGGATACTTTTTATCCCGGAAATCAGCCCTTAAAGGGGTTAAATGGAGATGAAAGTTCATATTGGGAAGCAAGCTAGGGACGAACCCGAGCGAAGCGAGTGTGAGTCGCTAGTATTTAGTATGTATTTTAATGGGTTATAGTTAACCAGTATTCTAAATACATATAGTCTGTTAACTTTTCCTAACGTTTTTTTGCCAGTATCTATTGGTTTTATTTTTATCTCATGTCTTAGATGATGTGATGCGATCATCCTCCACAATACAATAAGAATTAGTTTAGCGACATCAAGTGCTCGTTGAGTATAAATATGATTTAAATTCTTATTTAATTCTCTAATCTCGAATCTATTTGATTGAATGCATAGGTTTTAAGGTAATTCAACCAAATTAAAATAATCTCTGCGTTAGAATTATCAGTTTTTCGTTAAATAATGACGTTATAAGGAGTTAACATTGTATTTTTAAATCAAAATTAAAATTTTAATAGGATGCTGAATCAAGCAAACAAGTAAAGTGGTGGTTTATTTATTTATTATGTATTAAAATTTACATGTATATATTGAACATTTAAATTTTAATAGATAATAAATTATAATTGTGCATTCTAAAACTTTACATAATATTAATGTGTCTTCTTAATTATTGGATTAACCTAAATAAATACTAGTTTGGATTTTTCTATTAAGAAATTCTTAGAAATTTTATCAAAATGAAATCGATTTCGGTAAAGGATGCCAATTTTGCAGAGTAATAAATACAGGGTACAAAAACAATACATTGTAATAAATACGGATACATACACACATATGTGCTCAAACGCCGGAGCATATTACCCTTTATTTATTTTACTTTTCTATGTATGTGAACTATCACGACCTGAGAGAGATTAGGTGAAAAACTGACATCATAATGTTCCAACTTTTTTCCGCGTAATCTAACAAAATTCGGGCGGCTTCTAAGAATTTTTTGACACAAAAGCCAGTATTTATGGACCAGAGACTGACTTTCTTACAACGTTTCGCTAAAAATTTTCATCTAATTGATATTTTTATAACTTACATTGATAAATCAATTATATCAGTATGTAAATGAAGCGAATAGGTTAGTTGTTAAGCTAAAAATATACATTTTATAAATTATTAATAGTTATTATAAGGACTTATTAAAGGAGAATTTGAAAGAAAACGGAAACAACCTAAACTGCTTGATTGGTGAAGTAGACTAATTAAAAGTTTTTAAGAGTACCTACTATTAGTTCTGTTGGAACAGAGCCAAAGCATTTTGAATAAAAATTCTTCTTTTAGATTGAAACAACATTCAGTTTGATAACAATTCTTACTCATTATTATTTAGTTTTTATTTGATTTAGGCACTTTACTGGGATCTAGATACCTATTAAGTAGTTTTAATATATAGAAGATTCTTTTCACTAGATGATCCAATCCTTAAAATATTGACATATCAGCCTTTATAAGTACATAATGCCATAAAATGGCTTACTATTTTTCCAATTTATGAATACCAATAAAAACTTGTTCTAATATGCGAAGTGGAAAAGTATTCAATAACAAGAAAAACTTGTTCTAATATGCGAAGTGCAAAAATAATTCGATGAAATGTGTTGCATCTCTATCTCGAACAATGTGAAAATATCGTTAGACTTAATCTTATTATTTTTCTTATAAAATATACTCGCTCACTTATAAACTGAAAGATTTTCCAATGAGATATATTCGTTAATAAGGAATCTATACATATAATAAAATTGTAACTAAGTCGAATCTGTACATTCAATATTTATTGGAAAATCTAATTGAAATAGACATTATTATCGATACAGAGTCCGAAGTTTTTAGAATTTTTGTGTGTCTGTCTGTCTGTTACCGCATCACGAGAAGACCACTGGACAGATTTTAATGAAATTTGGTATAATGATAGCCGGTTATCCGGGTCAACATATAGGATATTTTTTACCGCGGGAAAATATCTCATTTCTGAGAAAAAATACAAAAACTGCAATTTAAGAGTATACTTATATGTAAAACCTAAGAATTTGGATTTTGGTCATCTGAACGCGGGCAGAGGCGCGGGCAATGCTAGTAAAGAATAAGGATGTAATTTAAGTGATACTGAGGGCAGTGGTCATCAGCTAATGACATCCCTTGACGATCGTTAAGGCTTAGGATATGCATTTTATTTTTCCTCTTCACAGTCAGCGAATTTTCTTTCCACGACCCGTTTTCCTCGTTCAAATGAAAAATTCGTCACAAGCTTCCTACGAATGAAAAGAATATTAATGAAGGCCTACATAGTATGATACAATGTAATTAAGTTCTTATGTAGATATGTAGTTGGTCATATTCATAAAGGGTTATTTTAGGTTTTTCATATTTTTTAAAACTCTAGCGTTGGTTGAAAATATATTATACGTATAGCTCATATGAATTACTAAGTTGTAACATTCTTTCTAATTATACCAGTTCCGCATGTAGCGGTTTATATATATAAACAAAAACCTCGCTTCATATAAAGAGAAAGAATCTCAATGCTTGATTCTTTCAATTGAATTCATTTATACTACAGATTTATAGAAATACTTACATCTCCAAACATTTTTATAATTATCACTTACCTTTAACATAACTTATATTTGACCCAGTTATTTTATTAATTTTACAGATAATAATCTAACATCAATTTGCTATTGAATGTATAGATAAATACTTATAATAGACAAAAATGATTTTATTTCGTATCGTGTACATTTGTTATAAGTTTTCAGCATGTTTTCATAGATACATTCGTTAGGCGATTGCATGCGCTCCGAGAGCGGCGCGTTGGCCACTTAAGCCTAGGTGGTCTCTATGCTCTGGAATAACAAGTACTGGCGGACTGGCAAATCCATCCAATCTGGACTATGTCTATGGTAAAAAGCTTTCTCGACCACAATTTAGTATATTTTTTAACGTAAAAATGCTTAGGGCAGTTTGAATGTAGTTAGAGTAAAGACCGTATGTTTTTGCTACAGGTACTAGGTATATATTTACTCTCTCATTAGTCAAGTGGGTAGCAAGTACGACTGCAGATAGAGATCTGGGGTTTATGTAATGTACCTAATTTTTGAACTCATTATGTTTAAAAAGTCTGGTTAAAATTATGGCCTATTATAGGTACTACTTCTAATGGCCTATGCATACCGTGTTTTATAAACACGCTTTTGAACAAGCGTCGAAAGCGCGTCCACTGCACGTTAAAAAGGTGTTGTGGCCTTAACAGCAATGCTATATCTAAATAAATATTAATACCGTCATTATAATACCATTATTTATTCATACATTTCCTTTAATAAATCTACTTGATTTTCAACCGACTTCAAAAAGGAGGAGGTTCTCAATTCGACTGTAAGTTTTTTTTTATTTTTTTTTATGTTTGTTACCTCAGAACTCCGTCATTTATTAACCGATTTGGACAATTTTTGTTTTGTTTGAAAGGGTATACTGCCAGATTGGTCCCATTTAAATTTCAAAAAAAAATACCACCCCTAAGGGTGGAAAAACAACTAATGATGATTTTAACCTACTTCTAATTGTCATATT